TAGAACAACCAAATACACAACAACACCTGCCCATGTTTCTCCGATGCTGCTGAAGTCAATGACATAGTGTGTCCGGTGTCATGGCCGCGTAGGTACCGTTGCTATAGGGGTCACATGACGGTGCAAAGCCTCTATACTGACTCACATTAGTCATGAATGCAGAACAGTTTTCCTTAATTTACGCACTCGTTTCACAATTTTATTATTACCAACCACCAAAAAACCAGGGACGTCCCAGTTTTTTAGTTTGAAAATCTGGTCACTCTACCTTAAGGCTGCAGAATTTGCCCGATTTAGGCTGCGATTCAGTTCTCTCTGAGTTCAAGGAGGCTGAACCCTAATTTGTGTCTTTGCGTGATTTTGAAGCTGCTGCACTCCTCGTGTGTGTGTGTGTGTGTGTGTGTATGTGTGTGTGTGTGTGTGTGTGTGTGTGAGTGTGTGTGTGTGTGAGTGACTCTGAGCTGCTCTATCAGGTCATAACAGTGCTGCACCAGCCAATAAAACAGAGCCGTCAGGGGCAGGAGAGTGACAGACACAGAGACACAAAATAGAAACTCAGGAAATAACAAGAATAATGAGAAGACTTCCTCACCTCTTGTAAAGTTATAAACTTAAACTGCATCCAGTCCACAAAACTGTGCTGTGAATCCAGTTTGAGGCGTTCTTTAAAAGTAAAAAGGTATGAGTAGTTCCTCAAGTGTGTCTGTTTACATCCACACAGCGCACGGATCGAGCTGAAGCTGCAGATTAGCCACTGTGCCTCTACTTCCTGTGGACTTTAACTTAACCTTCTGTGCATTAAAAATTGTGTATCTGAAGTTTTACACCACATTTCACAAATAATAATAACACAGTTTGACTTGTATCCAAACTAGAAGTGCAGTGTTCAGAGAGAGCGGTTTTACTGTAGACAGGAAACATCAGACACAATCACGCTCACAACTTTAAGCGTCTGTTCCGCAGACAGATCCCACTGCAGTCTTTGGGATCGGAGATTTAAAATCTCATAAGATTCTCCTCGTGTCTGTGGTGTGCAAGTTTTTTGCAAGTTTAAAAATCGTTTAAAACCAAAAAAATCCTGCAGTGTGTGGCGGCTTTACTTGAGTTTCATATTTAGTTCTAAGACTCAGATCAGTATGAGCCAAAGGTGTAAGGTTAAAATAGATTTTCCTGATAAAAATGTTGTGAGACTATAGAAAACGTTGCAGTACAACTTCTGAGCTATTTACTTTTGAAGAGTATATATACACACTACTTTTTTTGTCTGGTAAATTTTAGATAGATAGAGAGAGAGAGAGTCTTCATTCATTTTGATCTAAAACAATTTGAAAACAGAAACAGGTCCACTGACTTCTGATTCAAAACCACAGAATTGATTCTCACTTGCCTCCAACGCCGGCCCCGTCTCAGATCTGTGCTTTTCCCTTTAGTTTGTGATTGATTAGATTGCAGATAAATAAAGTGGCACGTCCTCCATCAGAAACTGTAACTTTACAAAACTGTAATCTGAAACCGTGAAAAAAAAGTTGTGGTTTCTGATGTTTTGTTTCGAATTTTTTTTATTTTTTTTTACCAGATCTTTATTGTTTTTTAATATAACAAAAACAATACACAAACCAACACAACACAACACAACAGGTCCAGGACAAAATTAAATAAATGAAAGATTAGTGCTCATCTAACTCTACCACATCAAACTCAGACAAACCCAAAACAACAATATCACTTAGCCACTCAATGGTCAGATACTGTTTGGTTCAAAAACTGAATAGTTTTTTCTTTTGCATTATGGATACGCGCTGTGGACAATTCTAAGTAAGCAATGTCCATAAATGAAAGTCCCCACTGGCGATGTGATAAAGAGTGAGGGGGTTTCCATCTAACAGCAACCATTCTTTTAGCAGCTGTAAGGCCCACCAGAAAAACCTTTTCTTGCTCTTTACTCAAGCCGAGCAGAGACATGTCATTCAGAATCAAAACCAAAGGTGAACAGGGAACATTAGTAGATATTAGAAGAGACAGACTATTACTTTTTACCTTCCAAAAGTAAAAAAACCCTGGGCATTCCCATTCCATGTGGAAATAGGTACCTAATGAATTTGTATGGAAAAGAGTACAATTTGGATCAGTTCTGGATTTCATGTTGAAAAGTCTGCGGGGTGTCATATATGTCCTGTGAATAAAGTTCAGATGTATCTGTTGATGGTTTGGATTCTTAGATGAGCAAAGCACCGAGTCCCATATTGCTTCCCAGTTAAAATTCAGAGGTAGATTAGGAATATCGTTCCTCCATCCAAGATCCAGTTGCAACGGAACATAAATATTTTCCAGAATGTTTTGTTTCAGAATTTTATTGTACTAAAAAACATTTGTCCTTTTTTCAAGTGGCCTCGCAGCTCCACAAACCTGACTCTTATTTGAAAAAAAATCCCGTTTCCATAAAAATGTTGTTCCATAGACTTTAATCTTTCACAGTATGACATAAAAAGTGTCTATGTCCGTTGAGAACGTTCCAAATTCATGCAGATGAAGTGCCACCTCCAGAAAGTTACAGTGTACCTAAAAAAAAACCACACTGACACACATTTGAGTAACCCTTTATTATTAGTCTGTTTACATCTCCAAAGCTCAAAACACTCTGTTCCACCTTGTGACATCATGAAGCGGTTAACACCTTTTACCTTTTGTTCAGGAGAGATTTGCAATTCCAGGTTTGAAATGATCCAAATGATTCTAATGAAGGTGTATGGAGTTTAAAAACACATAATGGAGCACTTCCTGTTTTACCACATGACATCACAAGGTGCAACAGTGTATTTTCTTCTTTGAGAGAAGAACTCAATAACATTATAACATAGATCAGAAAATAATATGGCCCTTTAACTGCCATATTCTCTTTTTCCTTTCAGTTGAGTTTATTATGAAAACAAAGAACCTACAAATGTAAAAGTGCAAGGCAAAACTGGTAGTACATGCCCACATGCTGTAGTCACCTGCCACCCATGTTTACTCCACACAGAATCACCCAAGCAGAAAGACATTTAGCAACTCTGTGAAAATAAGGAGCCAAGGTTAAAATCTGGGTCAAGGTCTAGTCTGTAGCGAGGCAGACACACGGGGAATGCAACTCTCGCAAAGACGACGACCATTTTGAACATGGAGCCGGTATGTTGCGTGGTCAAGGGCGTGTGCAGATGTAAAGATAGAAGGGACATGATCGCTCAAAGCATCTTGTGTCAGCTGATCTTCTATCCCATGTTACACTATGTTCTGTTCTATGTTCTAATGTTTCCTCATCACAAACAGACCTGCAGTTGTGTTTGTTTCATTCACACATGTTTTCAGACAAATCCTGCACATTTAGGCTGAGTTCTTCTCTCAAACAGACACTCTGGCTGCGTTCACACTGCAGCCTGAAGTGACCCAAATCTGATTTTTTGGCCCCTATGTGACCTGTATCTGGTCTTTTAATGACACAGATCCGATTTTTTCAAATGTGACCCAGGACACTTGGATATGTGCTCCTAAAACCGATACATATCTGATCTTTTGACATGTGACTTCAGTGTGAACGGTCAAACCGCATTCATCCACCTACACGTTATCAACAAGACACAAACGTCACTATTCTGCGCTGAAGTAGGCAAAAATTGTTAATGAACTCCGTGTCACTGAAGTGAAGCACATCACCACTCACCACTCTTGGCTCCGTCTCCACATCCACATGTTCCTTTGAACGGACGTCAGAAAATCAGACCTAGGTTTTCTCTAGAACACAATCCCTCTCCCCCATCGCCATAGTGACATGTTCTAGAACATCCAGCTGTATATAAGCACCAAACTGGACCAAACCAGTTCATTTCTAACCGAGACACTGACGAGTACAGTCACACATTATGGCAGAGAGACAAAGCTTCAAAATTTTTACTCTTTGCAGAGCTACACAACCACGTTCAGGTAAGTTTCTACTTCATTTGATGTGTTTTGACCAATGGGAATTGACATTTTGGTAGGTTGAAGGTTTGTGGCAGGTTTTGTTGTAACTATTTGTCTCAAACATAAACTTATTCTAATACCTTTCTTAACACGTGATTGTTTAGTGCTTTTTGAAAGGTAAAACAAGTTACGGGTTCACAGTTAAGTGTTAGGCCAGTGCTACAAACACCGAAGTCTTTCACTGTAACAACTTCTCAGTGTAAAGTGGGTACAGTAGCCCAAAACGTGAACTTCTACTTAAGTAATATTATTTTGAAGTACTGCTACTTGTACTTAAGTAGAAGTTAAAAGGTGTACAAGAAAGTAAGAAGTAAGAGTTAAACTGTATTTGTGGAAACAACTGCTCAGTAAGATGTGGCACCTGGTTTGTGATTTAAAGTTGATGTAATCGGAAGGACAAAACATAAAATAACGCACAAAATCTGGTGTTTTCAAAGGTTACACAACAAATATTAGAAAAACTAAATCATATCTGAAGGAGCGGTGCAAGAAACACAAATGTTCAAATCGTTTCACGTTGTCAACATGAAGCTTTTGTCACTTGTAGACTTACTCACAGTGGGAAGAGAAGCCATAACTTTTACTTGAGTAAGAGTACAGTTACACTCACATATTTTACTGAAGTAGTAAAAGTATAGAGTGTGAAAAATACTCTGAGAAGTATTCAAAAGTTACTCAAGTAAAAGTGATCTACCCACATGTACTGTTCAATACACAATTCAATCACTGTTGGCGTTCTCTTAAAGGAAGTGTACGTAAGATTTCTGCAGGTTTAGGCTCTGGTAACACAGGTTCAGTTGTGTTCATTTGTTACTGTAGTAACTTTTTTTTTTTTTTTTAAACAGTAAGAGCACAGGCTACATACAGTTCCTTTGAGTAACACATTTGAGCCTTCTCTGCAAAAGTATCTGCAGTCAGGACTACTTTACATTTACACATGAAATAAGTAGTATTGTTGAAGTAAATAAAAACACATTGTGACATGTGTGTGTACTGTTTTGCAGATTTCCAGATGAACTCAAAACCCTTGAGCAAGCTGGAGATCATGTCATCTCTCCCCATAGAGTACAGGTTCATCAAATACCTGAGAGAGGAGCATTTGGCCAAGTGGTCCAGTGTCGGATCAAGGACACTTTACAGGACGTGGCTGTCAAACTGCCGTTGTTTCAGCAGGACACCAAGGACGAGGTAAGACATTTAGATTTTTGATATGATTTAAAGGTGCACTATGTAACTTTTCTGGTGGAGGGTATGTACAACCTGCTTTTCTTTATGGAGTGACGCCAAGTTACAGGTCAGAACTGTGGATAGGCAATCACAGTAAGAATCCAGTGTTGAAATTTTATGAAATAGTTTTTGCCGCGTTTTTCTGACTAAAAAAGCTAAATCAAACTAAAACAACAAAAAATAATTACATCATTTCTGTCAACTAAAAATGACTAAAAGCAGTTCACTAGTAAATCCACACTGGTATCTGTCTCCGTATTTTTATAAAGATTGATATCAGTCTGGCCTCACGCCCCCTGTCGCGCCTCGAGCCTGGCCAAATGTGATCATCCAATCAGATTTGTTTATTTCAGTGACACAAGTGAAATGAAGGAGCTCATTGGTCACTTATCATTTACAAATAAAATCAAAGAGATAAGTGATTCTGCAGAATATCCACTATACAATATTTTTCTCGTTTATTTGTTCCAATACGGACGGACCAAGCGTGTCCCTGATTGGCTAATCCACCTGTCAGTCACACCCATCTGAAAACGAGATTCACCAGTGACATCTTTCACATCTTTCTGAAGTATTAAAAGTGTGTATTATGGATCCCAGGCAATAAAAGTAGAAATTTCATTGACTAAAAGTAGCCTGTTCACATTTTACCAAATAAGAATATATGTTCCATGAAGCAATGGGCTTCAATTTATAACAGTAAAAAAAATAAATAAATCAAAAGTAGTCTATTGTGCATTTAGTCAAGTACAACTTTGTCGACTAAAATGTAACTAAATAAAGCAAGACAGAGAAGATGGACGCTTTACTGTGAACCTTTCAAGACATAACATCTAACAGCTGAAACTCTCCACCAGAAAAGTTACACAGTGCCTCTTTAATGACGCATCTTTTTACCTCGGTGCCTAATCTGATTTCACTGAACTCTTGTCTCTGTTTGTTCAGATTTCCATCCTCACTCGACTGATGGAGGAAGGATGTGACCAGAGAAACATCGTCACATTTTTGGAGGCGTTTGACACTCGTTTGGGGAAAGTCATGATCTTTGAAGCGCTGGACATGTCTCTGTACGATTACCACAGAACAAACGCCCCACTGCGCCTCTCTGATGTCCGCACCATCACCAAACAGGTACTACCCCAGAGAAAAGTAACTCAGTATGCATTTATGGGAAGGACACTTTGAAAATATATTTAGTTACATTACTATTCCAACTTATCCATATATGAAAGCTGGGACAACATATTTTTGGGGTCAGCATTTATCATGGGTGTTCTTTCTTTTCATTACTAGGACATTTCTGGTTATTTTTTGATGATAAGATCTTATTTAAGTCGTAAAAGGTTGAAAAACTAACTTCAGTGACTCATTACAGATGCAAACTAAGAACTAAAGTTTTTAGATTCTGCTGTTTATTTATGGCATTAACGATATTGAGATTTAGAATAGTTCTTGTGGTTTAAATATGCTCTTGGGTTTTTGTGTCAGTGCCGTACATTAATTTCAATATTAGACACTGCCAAACTTTATTGATACATGAGGGAAATTACTTGTAAATGATCCTTAATCATCTGTATTTACTTATTGTGACAGTCCCAATACGATCCTACAAATGAACTTGAACTGTCCGTTTTATACTCCTAACCCTGCTCATTGTATCCCGCACAGGTGGCCACAGCCTTGGATGCGCTCAAAGAGATGTCCATAATCCACGCGGACATTAAACAGGGAAATGTGATGGTGGTGGATCACAGACAGAGGCCCCCGCAGGTCAAACTCATCGACTTCGGTTTGGCCAGGCCCGCAAAGGAGGCCAAACTGGGCAGGAGGATCCACCACGTGTGCCACAGTAGGTCTCAAAAAGTAGAGAAAGGACATAACCGGGAATACAGTGGTGGGACATACAGGGATGGACTTGGGATATTTAAAGACGGGGTATTTGACTTTTATGGGCTTTTAACCTCTTACACATAACATATTTAGATCACCATGCTTGCTTTTATTGTTTTGAAAATGCTATATTTGCTCATCTGACCCACTGCTCTTAATGTCTCTCTCCTCTCCAGACCCCCTGAAATCATTCTGGGTTTGCCTTGGAACGAGGCCGTGGACGTGTGGTCCCTGGGGACCATGTTTGCCGACCTGTGGTTAGGAATTAAATGATTCCCCAACACCACTGAATTTGAGGCGGTAAGTCATCGGACAAGCGTAGATCATGAAAACCCTTTTTTCTTCTTTTTGAATTTGACATACATATTAAAGGTGCACTACGTAACTTTTCTGGTGGAGGCTCTGATACCTGATGGTCTCCATGAGGATGGCATTGCTTTGTCTGAAATATTCCTCAAAATGGCAATTAATCTGTCTTCCTGGAGTCAAGCAGTAGTTAGTTACCTGACCAGCCAGTCCCTTCTAGGCATAAAGAAAACCCACATATTGTGACATTGTATCGTCAAAAGTCTCACAATAATAGCGGAGGCCCTCACAATATATCGAACATTTGACTGCTAGTGTACGTTTAATACATACCCGGGTTAACAATGAATGTACCGGTTCCGGATCATAGATGTTGGTGGATACGGCCGGACGAGCGATGGGGGGATCTTGGCCAACTCTCCCTTTGGTCAGGCATTGCGTGAGGGCAGACTTCCTCTATCCCCTGACCAACACCTGCCCGGAGCTGACCACAGAGGACCCCAGCCCCATGTTTTTGTTGCAGATGAGGCCTTTCTGCTGCAGAAACATATGATGCGACCCTATCCCGGACGTGCACATGGTGGCCTTACCCGAGAGGAGCGCATCTTCAGTTACCGCCTCTCCAGGGCACGGCTGGTGGTTGAAGATGCATTTGGAATCTGGAGCTCGCAGTGGAGACTGTTTCGCCCGGAAGTGGAAGTCAGCCCACAGGTCACGGAGAAATGTGTAAAGGCAACATGTCTCCTCCACAATTTCATGAGGGCAACAGCATCATCACCTGCACCGAGGGCAGCTGGAGCACAGGGAGAGGAGCCACTTCCAGATGTGAGGCGGATGGGGGCCAACAACGCATCCCAAGAGGCCATGAGGGTGAGGGAGGTGTTCATGGCCCACTTCTGTGAAGAGGGAGCAGTGCCGTGGCAGCCAGCATAGTCATGTCCTCCACAGGACTGACACACAACGGCTCTTTTAAGAGCCACCCACTAAACTATAAAGAGCTTAACATTATAGAGTTAATGGTTATGATTCATTATGTTTATTCACTTATTCATTTATTACTACACTGCCTACATTTAGAACAGTGGTGCTCAATACCTCGATCGCGATCTACCAGTCGATCACCAAGGTCATGTGGGTAGATCGCCGTGTCTTAGTACTCATCGGTCTCACGTTTGGACTCGGTCTTGTCTCTCACTCGAGGTCTGACACTCAACAAGTGCGATCATATTTCATTACGGCCGCTGCTGTTGGCAATAAACTTGTAGCGGGTGCAGGAGCGTGTGGGGCGTCTCAGTGCAGCCTGTGCGCTCATTTGAAACCCGCGGAGACTCTACGGCACATCACAAACACACACGCTCCCTATGCACGGCTCGTCTGCAACAGCGTGTGCCCTCGTGTACCAGCGTGCATCACAGGGCAGGTTCAACTTCCTAAACATCCTACCTGTCCATCTGCCTCACGTCAGCACGCCGCCCCTCGCCTTTTCACGCTCTCGCTCCTTCCTGCGTACAGCGAACACAAGCCCCTCCCACAGTGCGGCTGATTAGAAGAACAAGACCAAACGTGAAGCAAAAACGAGTCTAAATTAGTGTTCCAGTGTTGGCACAAAGCAGGTCTACAGCATAGAGCAGATCTACAGAACAGACCTACTGCCACATTTGGCTGAAGTTTGTCTAACAAAAGTGCACAAATGCATCTGTGTTTGTCACGATGTGCGTTTGGTTTGGTAAATGTGCAGAGGCTGGTAAATATCACTGCAAAACCAGAAAAGAATGCAACTCCAGTTTGGAACTTTAAAAAACAGGTTTAAAAATCTTCCTTCACTTTTTTCACAGTTTTGTATAAAGTGCCAGAGGAAGTTCTCTTAAAGAAGAGGTTCTCAAACTGTGGGTGAGGGTCCAAAAAAGGGGCACAGAGTGTTTCAGTGCAGTTTGCTTGGCTTTGTATTAGGTAGATCTTTATGACTTGGTCATTTTGTAAGTAGCTCACATGCTGAAAAAGTGTGAGCAGCCCTGATTTAGACTGTATATTTTTGTGCTGTTCTGTGTTTCTTGTTTGCAGGTAACAGCTGCCAGGACTGAGCAGCTGACTGAAGCTTCAGGTTCATCACAACATGTACACTACACTACAATAATTACCAAATTACATGGGGAAAATAATCAAATATACACAGATTAACTTCTTAACTCTTGTCTATGTAACTTTGATGTTTGATATATGGTCTTCGATTGGTGAAAGAAATAAGCTTTATATATGTAAATATGGTACACATTTTACTGAGATTACCCCTAGCTTACTTAAATACACAGCATTAGGAAAATGAGCATGATTTATAAAACCAAACCTTACTATGATTAAAAAAAACATTTTATTATACAATAAAAAGAAAACAACACAGATTAACAAAATAATAATAATTTAATATTATATATATATATATATATATATATATATATATATATATATATATATATATATATATATATATATATATATATATATATATTATATACAGTCCCTGACAAAAGTCTTGTCGCTTATCCATTTTGTAGAAACAAAAGCTTATAACCTGACTTTAAATTAATCGATTGGTTTTAGAAATGTCTCATATGAAAGCTAAAACCCTCCCAAATTATGCTCAATAAATAAATTATAATAATAATATAATAATAAATTTGCTTCACTGAAGAAAGATTGATCATTTAATGAACACAGAAAGGTCAGATTTTGGCAAGACAAAAGTTTTGTCGCCTACAGAAAATTGAACAAATAATTTACTTCAAATACAAAAATATGTTGCATAACGTCAGTGAATGAAGTAGTGGTGCTGTGAGATCCATATTTAATATCTTGTATGACTCCATGAGCTTGAAGGAAGCATCCATGCGGTTCAAAAATGATTCATACAATTTGTTGATGAAGTCATCAGGAATAGCAAAGAAAGCGTCTTACATGCCTCCCAGAGTTCATCAAGATTCTTTGGTTTTGTCTTCCATGCTTCCTCTTTCATTCTACCCCAGACATGCTCAATGATGTTCATGTCTGGTGACTGGGCTGGCCAGTCCTGGACCACCTTGATCTTCTTCACCTTGAGAAACTTTGATGTAGAGATAGAAGTATGCGATGGAGCACCATCCTGCTGCAAAATCTGACCCCTTTTATGGTTGGGAATGTAAGAGGAGCTAATACTTCTTGATATTTTAGGCTATTGATATTTGCCTTCCACCCTGCAAATGTCTCACACCCCCAGACTGGATGGAACCCCAGACCATGATTTTTCCTCCACCAAACTTAACTGCAATATTTGCAATATTTTTATACACACCCACTAACTGATTGATCAGTAACTGATCACAGGTGAGGCTGTAATCTAGGATTGGGTGCATCATATGACAAGGCCACAAGACTTTTGTCTTGCCAAAATCTGACCTTTCTGTGTTCATTAAATGATCGATCTTTCTTCAGTGAAGAACATTTATTTTAGTATATTGAGCATAATTTGGGAGGGTTTTAGCTTTCATATGAGACATTTCTAAAACCAATCGATTAATTTAAAGTCAGGTTATAAGCTTTTGTTTCTACAAAATGGATAAGAGACAAGACTTTTGTCAGGGACTGTATATATATATATATTGATGGGAACATGTGCGGGATACATTTGGATTATTTTTCAATGGAGAAATAATATGCCACGATAAAGAAGGTTTAACGTGACAATACAGCTCTGGCAGTTTTGCGTCTCTCTATGGGAGTGAATGGAAGCGAGAGGAGGACACCCCCCCCCCCCCCCATGCTTCCAGATGTGGCTCCGCCTTTACCAGTTACGCTGATCACCAGACAATCCGGACAGGGGACTCAGCGCTGCGCAGCATCCGGCGTCAATGGGTTAATGCAGCTTATATTCAGGTGCACTCAATAGTCCAGAAATTACAGTACTTTTAGTATCAGATTTTCCATACTTTTGTCAACTCTAATTAGTGATACATGTAGGATTTGGTAGCATCTACTGTAGCTACTTTTTTTTTTTTTTTTTTTTTATCAAACCAAACCAAAAACGACAAACAAAACTCCCACTCCCGATCACCTCTATCCTACAAGACCACAGACACACACAGACACACACAGACACACACAGACAGACACACACAGACACACACACACACACAGACACACACAGACACACACACACACACACACACACACACACAGACACACAGACACACAGAGTAAGTACAAAACCTGGCCAACCCTTCGGGGCCCAGGTAAATATCTGGGGCAGATCATCACTGCAGACATGACAGAGGATGATCTATGCCCAGGCAAATACTCTTATGTGCGAGTTTGGCTCTTGTACAAATGATGTAAAGTTGTTCTTGTTTAAATCATATTGTAGCCCGTTGTACACAGCCCAACTCTGGATTCATTACAAAAAAAAGTCTACAGTAACACTTTGCATTGCTTTTGAGGAGGACACGATGGACGAGTGCGACTGAAATGTTTTTTTTTTGCACAAGTGAACACTCTACAAGCTCGACTAAGAACTAATGTACAGTTTTATTTGCAGATTGAACAAATCAGACACTGAAATAATAATGTCACTCACAAATATGAGATTCAGTGCAATACCATATCAGTCCAACAGGTGGAGACACTGATGTAACTGTCTTTTAAAAACATAAATGTTTATTGTTTTGTATTGTCACTAGTGACGGGCAAATGAGTCGGAGCTCTGGAGCTCGTCTCGTTCTTTCTGAAACAAATTGTTCTGAAGCACTGCCTCGGAGCTCGTCTCACAGCAGCCGCTCACGTGACCAAAGTGTGGAAGTGTGGGTCCCTCCCCCGACTGCTTCACTCTGCGTGTCAGTCGCTTCAGTGTATCGAAGCGTTTCATTGGCTCAGCGAATGTTCCGCTCTGTGATTGGTTCAGAGTGCTTCAGAGTGTTCAGCGCACTTCCATGGTTTGACAA